CTTGCTAGGATTGAAATATGAAGTGTAGTGTTGGAATGAGTTCTTTAAAAGAGAGCATTGGTCGTTAAATGTATAGGTGGAAAAGGTTTTACTCTCTAGTGCCCCCCTTAAAAAGAAAAGAAACGAAAATAGAAACGAAAAAGGTAATAAAATGGGGGTACATAAAGTAGAGAGTGCCACGAAAAACCAAAGTGTATGCTCTGGGAGGGGTTTCTTGGCACTCAAGCCACAGAAACCCCCCACATTGCTTTAGAACTCCTTCACTACCTAATCGAAAGGTGATAGCAAGAGTAGACCGAGGAAGAGTGCTTTGATGTAGTTCACGATGGGTGATAGTTTGGGAGGGAGGGATAAGGTTTTTGGCTGATGCTAGTGGCCTTTGGTTGAAGAGAAGGGTTTGCGTCGGAACCATAGAACCTTCGGGTCTAGGCTGAATATGTAGAGCCTCGCGTCATGATTTCCACCACCCAAAAAGCCTTTTCCCCATGTCCAAGACAATTGCTAGTCATCTGAACCTGTGTCTAAGACCTCCGGACAAGCTAGTGATGACAACCATTTCGAGAACTCTAGCATTTAGAGGTTACCGCCGTGGTATTGAGACGATTGGGCCGAGTCTTGATGATTGTGCACATCTTTTGCACCAAAAAGGTTCCGACCCCACTGGTCTTGAGAGTGAGCGATTCATTCTTGTTTTGCATGCAATATCCTACCCCGGTGAGGACCTTTGATGCCTTTCCATTTGTTCCTCGGACTTGAATTCTATGCATGGGAAGTTGTGGTTGATAGGTGGTCTTGTTGAGACTTGTATTGATCCATGAACAAGCTGAGAACTTTTTGGTTGACCACTTTTGGTGGCCTCGAATGTCGTTTGTGGTGGATGTCGGTATTGCTTGCAACTATCCATGTATTAATTGCCAATAGACATTGATAATTCCCACTTTGTGCCCTTTGAATTATCCCCAAAGTATTTTTGTAGGTTGAAATATTACCTTGTGTGAAATGGTTTGCTTGGGGACAAGCAAACGTCTAAGTGTGAAGGAGTGATTCTTGCCTAATTGTACATATTTTACCACCGTTTTCCGTAGGCATTTGTGGCAATTATACTCCTAAAAGGGTGGTTTTACGCGAGGTTTCTTGTCTTTTAGCATGTTTCATGATTTAACAGGTGAAACCAGCCCTGGAGTCAAAAGTTTGACAAAAAGGAGCGAAAACCGAGAGAAGATGTGAAAAACCTGCAGTTCACAATTTCTCTTGGAAGTTGAGAAGCTGTTTCCCGTGAACATCAAGGCGTCCAGGGCCAAATCCTAAGCTACTGACGCTAGGTGAGTTCACGATCACTTAGACTGTGAACTGGAACTGTTGCCCGTGAACCTGAGCAAGTGAAGCAGTGCGTTTCGACGCCGGCCTTGAGTTCACGGACGCGTTCAAGAGTTCACGACCATGTAATTTTTGTTATGTGAATTGAATGATTGTTCATGGGTTTTGTTTAATTCCATGATTGAGGTATTTTTCATGTTGATTGTGCATTTTTGTGCTTAGCAATCTAATTATCCAATTTAACATAGATTAGAGAGGGAAAAACCCCTTTCAAGGGTGGCTCAATTGAGTTGGGATTCCTAAGGATTTTTAAGTCATCTATCTAGGTTAATTTTGGGAAAACCTTGATGTTGGATTAAGAAATGTGGTTAAGCGTGATTAAGCCGACCAACCATTGGGTTGAGTGAGGGAGTAAGGCAACTATCGATTTCCTTAACCGAGAGGGCCACTTGAAGAGCCTATAATATATCCCTCGGTTTGGAAATCAAGAGTGTGGTCTACGACCATATTTGCATTCCTTAGCGGTTCGCGGTCACCTTGCCCATGGCAATCACTTCGATTCACTACCATGGTAGTAGTTAGGGGAAAGCGACACCCGAGTGATCCTTCTCACAAAGAGCTTTCAAAACCATTTACTTATGTCTTGATTTACTTTAATTAGCAAACTTTTCAACCAAAATCAATTCGCTAGATAATGATTCAAATGACTGAAGTAGGGGTACACAGACCGGCCCGAGACGATATTTAAACATACTTCCATGTATTGCACCCGACTAAGGTTTATACTTGGAACTTAGGCGGGAATTAATTGTGATATTTGGGATGATTCAATGATGATTGAGAGGTGCATTAGGATAGTGCAAAAATTTAGTTCTCATTGTGCAAAAATGAATGGAGCATTTTGCTTGAGAGCTTGATGGTGTTAATAGAACGACCCCCCATCCTTTCTTCGGTTCTATACATGTGTCACCCTTGTGTCTCGGAGCTCTCGCTGTTGAGCTCCATTGAGGTTCTACATAGGAGGATTGTGGCGGTTCTTGCTAGGATCAAAAGTGAAAGGAAGAGTAGTGTTGGAGTGAGTTCTTAAAAAGAGAGAATTGATCATTAGAAATAGCGTTGCAAATGTTTAACTCTCTAGTACCCCCCCCCCCCCCCCTCTCAAAAAGAAAAGAAAGAAAAAAAGAAAAAGAAAGAAAAACGAAAAATAGGTAATAAAGGGTAAATAAAGTAGAGAGTGCCACAAGAAATCAAAGAGTATGCTCTAGGTGAGCTTTCTTGGCACACAAGCCATTGAAACTTCCACATTATCTTAGATCTCCTTCACTACCAAATCAAAGTGTGATAGCAAGAGTGGACCGAGGAAAAGTGCTTAAGGGAAGTTTATGATGGGTGATAATTGGAAGGGAGAAGCAAGGTTTTTGGCCGATGTTAGGGGCTGTCGTTTGTGAGGAAGGTACTTAGTCGAAACAATACAACCTTCGGTTTTAGTGAAGATGTAGGACCTCATGATGTGTTTGCCACCACTCAAAAAGCCTTTTTCCCCATGTCCAAGACAATCGCTAGTCATTTGAACCCGTGTCTAAGACCTCCGGACAAGCTAGTGATGCCAACTGTTCCGTGAACTCTAGCATTTTGAGGTTGCCGCCATGGTGTTGAGATGATAGTGGCGAGTGTTGATGATTGTGCTAATTTTTTGCACCAAAAGGTCCCGACCCCACTGATCAAGAGAGTGAATGATTCATTCTAGTTTCGCATGCCATCTCATACCCCGGCGAGGACCTTTGTTGCCCATCCGTTTGTTCCTTGGACTTCAACTCTATGCATGGTTAGTTGTGGTTGGTAAGCATTCTTGTTGAAACTTGCATTGATTCATGAACAAGGTGAGAACTTTTCATTTGCTCGGTTTGTAGCATTTGGACTCCTAAAAGGGTGGTTTTACGCTAGGTTTTGCGCGTTTTAGTGTGTTTCAAGACCCAACAGGTGAAACAATCCCCGGAGTCAAAAGTTGGACGAAAAGAGGCAAAGACCGGGCAAAGAGGGTGATCCAGGCGGAGTTCACGGGTTAGCATGGGAGTTCACGATCCACTATGACCATGAACTGAAGCCCAAAACCGTGAACAACGATGGGTCCAGGGAGAATTCCGCAGTTACTACCACGGGACGAGTTCACGGTCAACAAGACCGTGAAGATTGAGGCCAAACTGTGAACTCCTGATGGCGAAGTGGTGCGCTTCAAATCGCGCTCCGTGTTCACTGACGCATTGAAGAGTTCACGGCTGTGAACTTAGCCCGATTCTGGTATATAATGTGAGCTGAAAGGAAGAGAGGTGAGAGAGCTATGAGTGAGAAAGTGACTTCTTCTTTATATTTTAGAGAGAGAAAGAACGAACCAAGGAAGAAAGAAGGCTAGGGTTTTCTCCAAGTGGTGGATTGGGAAGATTCTTCCCAAGAGAAGTTCAACACAAGCTCAAAGGAGATTGGAGGCATCACCATGATGGTTTCTACCTCTTCCTCTTGTGTTCTTCCCCTTCCTAGCATGGAGTAGTTTCCTTTTTCACTTTGGTGTTGTGAAACACTAACTATGTTCCATGTAGTTCTTGTGTGAATTGAATGATTGTTTATGGGTGTTGTTTAATTCAATGATTGAGGTATTTTTCATGTTGATTGTGCATGTTTGTGCTTAGCAATCCAATTGGCCATTCTAACCTAGATTAGAGGAAAACCCCCCTTTCAAGGGAGGCTCAATTGAGTTGGGATTCCTTGGGGATTTTTAAGCCACCTATCTAGGTTAATGTAGGGCAAACCTCGATGTTGAATTAAGAAATTTGGTTAAGCGCGATTAAGCTGACCAACCGTAGGGTTGAGTGAGAGTGTAAGTCAACCATCGATTGCCTTAACCAATAGGGCTACTTGACTAGCCTATAATGTATCCCTTGGTTTGGAAAACAAGAGTGTAGTCTACGAACATAGTTGCATTTCCTAGCAGTTCGCGGTCACCTTGTCCATAACAGTTAATTCAATTCCTTGTGCCACGGTAGTAGTTAGGGGGAAGGGATACCCGAGTGATCCTTCTCACATAGAGCTTTCAAAAACCATTTACTTTTGCCTTTCTTTACTTTAATTTGCAATCTCTTAAACCAAAACTGATTCTCTAGATAATGTTTCAAGCAATTGAAGTAGGGGTACACGGACCAGCCCGAGTCGATATTTAAACAAACTTGCCCTGTATTGCACCCTACCAAGGTTTATACTTGGACCTTAGGATGGAATTAACTATGATATTCAGGACGATTCAGCCTCTTCTACAATCGTTTATCTCATCAACCAACCTCCCTCGTCATCCTTGCGTGGTAAAATTCCCTTCACTACCTTGTTAAATGAATCCCCCAACTACTCTAAAATCTGTGTCTTTGGTTGCTTGTGCTACCCTTGGTTACGTCCCTATAACTCTCATAAACTTCAGCCCAGGTCCCTTCCATGTGTGTTTCTCGGCTACTCACATCAAAATAGTGTCTGTTGGTGTCTAGATCCCCAAACTAATCGTGTCTACATCTCTCATCATGTTCTCTTTGTCGAGTCCAAACTTCTGGGTTTTCAACTCCACTCTTCCCCTTTTGTTTGTCGAGTCATCCTCAACTTCCTGGCTGGATGCCACCATTCCTGTTGTTACTTTTCTTCCTTGCATGTCATCATCCCCACTGCCGGTTCCAAGGTCTGCACCGCAGCCCCCTAGTCCTTCTCACTTGGATCAGTCAGCACAGTCTTCACCGGCACCATCCTCGACTATACCGGTCTCTTCCTCGGGCTGCTCATCTCCTTCATTGAAGCGTCCACCACCGCCTCCTCCTCCACCACAACGGCACCTTATGCGGACTCGTGGCTAGAATAACATTGTTGAACCTAACCCCAAGTATGTGCATGCCACTTCCTTGTAGGTTACTCCGCCTCTTTAGCCGACTTCTGTCAAAGAGGCAATGATGCATGATGCTCTACTTGCCAATCATACCTGGGATCTGGTCCCCCGTCAACCTCACTTCACATTATTGGCAACAGGTGGCTTTATCGTGTTAAGTTTCTCTTCAATGGCTCCATCGAACGCCACAAGTATCGCCTCGTTGCCAAGGGGTTTTATCAGCGAACTTGCTTGGACTTTCATGAGACTTTCAAACTTGTTCTCAAACCAGTGATGGTTCGCACGGTCTTCACACTTGCTATGTCCTCTAGATGGCATATCTTCCAGTATGACGTCAACAATGCCTTTCTGCAGGCCCCTCTTCAAGAGGACGTTTACATGTCGCAACCACGGGGCTTTCGTTATCCTCAGTTTCCTTATCATGTCAGTCACCTTCATTAAGCCATCTATGATCTTCGATAAATGTCGTGTGCCTTGTATGATACTCTTTAGTTCCTTCCTTCTCTCCTTTGACTTTGTCAAGACATGCTCCGATGTATCCCTGTTTGTCAACTCGCATGGTGGTGTGCTTTCAAAGATCATCTCTCGGATCGTTTTTCCCTCAAGCGTCTTGGCCACGTTCATTTCTTTCTTGGTATCGAAGTAATCGCCACATCATCTAACTGCATTCTCTCTCAACACAAGTATTTCAATGCATGAGGCAACACTGGCGTCTATTCTTCTTACGTCCACCACTCGCCTCACTCTCTCCGATGGCTCGGCTCCGGCTGATGCTACCTTATATCAACAAGTCGTTGGCACTCTCCATTATCTTGTCACCACGCGCCCAGACAATGCATTCTCTATGAACAAGCTTTTCCAGTACATGCATGCATCGATATCCACTCACTGGCATCATGTTAAGTGGTTGCTTCTCTACATTGCTGGTACTCGTTCACTTGGTCTTTACTTTTGCCGACATGATGCTCCTCTCACACTCTGTGTTTTCTCTGACTCAGACCAGGCTAGTGATTTTGATGATCGAACGTCCACTTCCTGGTATCTCATCTACTTAGGCGCACCCTTATCTTGTGGAAATCCAAAAAGCAACGTACGGTGGCTCGCTCCAGTACCGAGGCCGAATACTGTGTGCTCGCTTTGGCTACATCGGAGACTCGCTGGTTCCGAAATCTTCTCACGGAGCTCCACTACTCGCGTCCCACTGCTCCTACTCTCTTTTGTGATAGTATTGGTGCGGTCAATTTCAGCTCCAATCCAGTCTTTCACTCCCTCATGAAGCATCTTGCTCTTGATTATCACTTCGTTCGTCGGCTTGTCAATTCTAAGCAGCTTGTGGACCGCTACATTCCCACTGCGTCTCACCTTGCGGATCTTCTCAAAGCACTACCAATCACTCGTTTTTGTCTCCTAAGTTCCAAGATAGGTCTGGCTGACACGCCTCCATCTTGCGGGGGCATATTAGGGAGAAATCCTAGTTTGTCTAGGACTAGTATTATTGTATCTTGTAGTCTCTTTCTCCCTCTCGTATTTGTCTATGTACATGTGTATATATAACTCATTGGACTTTGCTACGGTGACATGCATGTCATGGTGACATGCACTTTTCGGTCGACCTCATATAGGATTAGGTCGACCTAATCTGTTGTTTCAGTGTAAAAACAGTTTCATGGTGCCTACTTTGGAGATTCATATCTTACAATTGGCTAGATGGAAATTGGAGATTAAAGGCTTGTCTTGAAGCTGAAGTGTCCCTCTACACATTAAAGTACTTGGGAGCTCAATAGAAAGTCCAGAAGAACATTTTTGAACCTGACCAAAAGGCTAAGCCAAAACTGGGAAACTGCCTGAAAATGGCCAAGTCTGGCAACGTGTTTGTCAAGCCTACTTTGGAGCTCAATTTGAGAAGCATGGATGCGAGTCAAGTCCAGGGGCCTCTACCACGTTAAATTACGTATTTTACTATACAAATTCAAGGCATTGGATGAAAGATTGAATATCTTTAAGGCTTCAAACAAAAGGCTCGAAGTTGCTACGAAGGATGTTTTTCTGGCAGCTTGCTTATGCTCGAAGTCTGCCAGAAAAACAGCCTTCGTAGCAACTTCGACCCTTTTGTTTGAAGCCTTACAGATATCCAATCTTTCATCCAATGCCTTGAATTTGTATAAAAACATATCTGATTTAACGTGGTAGAGGCTCCTGGACTCGACTCGCATTCATGCTTCTCGAATTGATCTCCAAAATAGGCTTCACAAACACGTTTCCATACTTAGCCATTTTCAGGCAGTTTCCCAGTTTTGGCATAGCCTTTTGATGAGGTTCAAAAATGGTCTTCTGGACTTCCTATCGAGCTCTCTTCCACTTCAATATGTAGAGGGACACTCCAGCTTCAAAACAAGTCATTATTCTTCAATTTCCATCTAGCCAATTGTATGATATGAATATCCAAAGTAGGCACCATGAATTGTTTTTACACTGAAACAACAAATTAGGTCGACCTGATCCTATATGAGGTCGACCGAATCCTAAATGAGGTCGACCAGATCCTATATGAGGTCGACCGAATCCTAAATGAGGTCGACCGAATTCTAAATGAGGACGACCTAATCCTAACTGAGGTCGACTGGAAAGTGCAAGTCACCATGACATGCATGTCACCATAGGCACACCCTAACTCATTACATAATGAAATACATATAGTTGGAATCCCTTACACTTAATACCTCCTCGTTTAGCATATAATACCTGTTTTGGTTTACATGTGAGTTGAAATGGTAAAACAGAGAAGAAATATGGAACATTCACTAAGAAAAGTGGACATATGCTAGAAAGTATAATAACCAATGCAGTCAAAATCGGGATTTTATTTAAAATTGAAAACTGAGATGAAATCGTAACGTAGGATTTTAAGTATATATCATATAGAACATAACATATAATAATATAATTAACAAGGTAATTTATTAATAACACCGAGACACAGAACATTTAAAATTATAATTCTCAAGATATTTTTTTGACAGAGGAAGGGATAGAGCTCATGGGTTTTGGCTCTTGTTTTCATATTGTGTCTAGGTAATTTAACTCAAAGTAATATTCCGAAATCTTCTACTAGTATGTTTTAAAATTAAGAATAATTGAGCTGAAATAAAATAATTAATGCTAGTGGCTTTGTACAAATATATTCATTAATAAATTAATTAGTTAATAATGATATTAATACTTACGTACTTCCCATATTATGACAATTTTTTTACCAATAAGTTAAACGGGGCGAAGGGAAAGGGATTGACCGTGCCCTAATTTGGTAATTTTTTTATTTTAAAATGTTTTATAATAGAAAAATATATGAGAAGATCTCCGTCATTGCCCTTTCTACCGAAACAGTTCTACTTATTTTAAAATGGCTCAACTCATATGATCAAAATTTTGATTTAATAATTTTAATCTCGATTTTAAACGATTTTAAGGTCCACCAATTTTATAGTAGAATCAAAATCGGACTATTCAGACTTCCATAAGTAGACAAACTTAACATTAAGCGGTGAGGTTTGACGGTGTTGCAGCAATCCTACAAGACTTGTGCATTCATCATTCTGCTCAACCATTTACCTTTAGTACAGTTTGATTTTACACCACGAGAAGCGAATCGGACTACCCATTCAATGGTGTGCAATGTCTTACGTTATCCTGCTCTTAATTATGATCCTAATGATGTCACGTATTTTGTATGTTTTTAAGTGAGGGAAGATGCCTTAGTCCTTGTGGTTACCAAGCTATAATGGTTTATCCAAAAGGATTTCTATGACAAGAAAAATGATCTCTTTATTGAGCAGACTACTACTCGATTGCTAGCACTAGATCAATACATTCTATGTTATTACGAATCTATATAATCCGGAAACTAAACACCCGAAATTCATCATCAACCTAACCTAAAATTTCAAACGATTTGCTCCTCGGCGTCGTGCGATTGGAGAGATGATGGAGGCTTTCTGCGCTCTAGGCAAAAGCAAGTTCGGAACACACAACTACACGCCGTCACTAGCTCGCATTTAACATGGTAAAGCCCGGTTTCCACGACATCATCGTTGTTACCTCTGGCACCGAGTGGTTGGGAAGACGACAGAGGTAAGCCGCCATGCAGCTTACAAACACAAATTCCGAGTGCACAACTACATGACTTCACTCTTGAGCACGGATTCTTTAATGAGAAAGCCGAGGCCCCCAAGTCGACGCCGTCGTTGTTATCTCGAGTGAATTCTTCTGCTCCAATGTTTGTTACACCTGCATGCAACATGCCCAAAAATCGAAAATTAGCAGACACAAATTCATATCTCTAAATTCTAACGACGAAAAGCAATTATTTGCGAGAGATCTGCGGTGAGGTTAGTCGTGTTTGACGTTAAGGAGTATCGTGTTTCAATACATCTGCATCATTGCTGTTAAACATTAGAATTTGTTCGCCATGTGTATTCGAAACATAGAACGTACCAGCAGTGAAAACCAAAAGAGTAAACAAGAAGATCAATTTCATCGAGATGTGTTCCATATCTTCAATGTTTCTACTTCAGTATATATCTTGGCGAGTGAAGATGGATAGAATCGAAATATTTTTTTGATATTTTTGTAGATTATACTAAGAAGACTCGGATGTCAGGAAAGAGTACTCAATGAAGATGGAGAATTCTCATTATATTTTTTGTATTTATACACAAAGGATAATCTGTAACGAAGGTGTGCAATTCATGTGAATAATATATATTCCAACTAACAGCTTAAATATGGGGGGAAACATGGTGGATATGACTTATTCTCGACCGAAATATAGGAAGATATTTCTATCTGCCTATTTTTCCTTTATTGTTATTTTCCATACAGGCTAGGCAAGGAAAGAAATGAAATATTAACAATATTATTTTTCATACATAAACTTTAATATCTAACACAAGAACACACTTTTCAAAAATTATGTTTGGGTACCTATTTTATTAGAATGACATCCTTGTATATAAACTTTTAAAATTTTCAGAATAGTCCAAAAGCTAGATGTATAAGACTTTGGATCGATGAGTCAAATCCATGAATTCACACATCCAATTGAAGATATATACATATTTGAGAATCCCATGAATTCAATCCATTTATCACCACCATTTACGAAATTGTAAGCATGTCAATGTTCTTGCTATTGTTCAATCAATCAACAGCCCTCTCAATTGATATGTCTGGTCAATTAAACCATTAGAATCTCGATACTCGTTCCATTTCGAAGAATATATTTTTCATGTACCCGATCACTATAGCAAATGCTATGTTATGCTACAATTTATGAATTTAGCTCTCGTAGTTTATAGTTGTCAGCATTATATCAAATGGACATTACAAAACATAATAATCAATATAGTAGTGCAATTATAAATGATAACTATTTGATAGTATAAAAAATAAATTTTTTTATGAGGAATACGGTGTGGGTCGGTCATTACCTGTAATCTACCCTCCACCCACCCAAATAACAGTAGGTAGAATATTTATCAATCTTCAATCCATCCACATCAATCACACATTCACTGCGATTGGATTATCTGTTGTTGGATTGATGTCAAATTTCATCATGTGAGACTATGAACTAATAATTAAGAAATCTCTTTATTGAACTAGATATTACTAGCTAGAGAGCTGGTACCAGATGAATACATTCTATGTATTATTACGAATCTATGTAATCAAGAAACTAAATTACGGAATTTAACTATCATCAAACTAAGCTACATTTTTCAAATGAGTATTTTTTCGGCGCCGAGTGATCGAAGAGGTGCCCACCGAAGCTTCTAGTGCTTCATGCAAACGCAAGTTTTGAACATACAAGTACACCTTCATTTTCTCTCATTTAAGATGGCAAAGCCTGGTGTGGACAACGTCATCGTTGCTGCCTCCACCGCTGCATGGCCGGGAAGAAGATGACGTTAGAGCTGAGCGATGCAACTTACAATTCAAACTCCGATTTTACAATTAAAGTTTTCGTGTAATAGAATTCAATGCACTTAATATTAGGGAGAAATTCTCGTTTGTCTAGGACTTGTATTATTGTATCTTATAGTCTCCTTCTCCCTCTCGTATTCTGTCTATGTACTTGTGTATATATACCTCATTGCATAATGAAATACATACGGTTGAAATCCCTTACATGGTATCAGAGCCAAGATCCAAACCCTAAGTTTTTTGTCTTCGTCAATTCCTGTCACCATGTCCACCAACTCTGACGCTACCTCGACCGTCATTGCTGCAACCTCTTCTGTCGCCGATCGGCAGCTGGTCACATTCAATCCTATTTCCTCACTTCCCCTTAAACTCACCGCCACCAAATTTCCCTCCTAGCGTGCGCAATTGTTCTCCTTCCTCTATGGCCTCGACCTATTTGGTTACCTTGACGCCTCTATTCCCGCGCCATCCGACACCACTTTTGTCGATAGCGCCTCCATTCGGAACCCGACCTACATGCACCGGTTCCGACATGACAAGATTCTCCTCAATGGTATATTTGCTTCGGTTACGGTAGAACTGTATCCCTTCATCGCCGTTTCTCAAATGTCTCGTGAAGCTTTGGACATTATTCAACGTACCTACGCCGGTACCTCTTACTCTCGCATTATGACTTTGCGAGATCATCTTCTTGGAGAGAAATGCGGACACCGAGACATTGCCACCTACTTTCATGCTCTTCGATCCCACGCTTCTGAAGTTTCCCGAGCTGTTGAGATGATTTGTGACGAAGAGCTCGTCACCATCTGTCTGCATGGGCTCGGCCCCGATTATAGAGCGTTCTACGCCGACATATGGGCTCACGACGTATCCCCCAAGCTGGAAGACCTTGTTGATCGTCTCCAAGCCCTTAAGAGTGACCTCAAGGTGATCCGTCCCTCGGTCGAACATCCTGCGACAGCTTATGTGACTTAGCGTGGTTGCGAATGTGGTGCTGGTCGGGGAGCTAGTCGTGGGGCTGGTCGAGGCTCCCCCTCATCCTCCGGTTCGGCCCCTCCCTCTGGTTCTTCTAGTTCATGTGAATTTTCTCCTGGCGATGATGACTCTTTATGTGGTCGCTAGCGTGTCTACTGCCAGTTCTGTGACAAGCCAGGTCATGTTGCCAAGAACTATTTTCAGCTATGTGACACGCCAAAACACAACACCAATCTGCGACCAAGTGTAATCGCAGACCGGGAATGCAGTAACAGGCAAGTTATATTATCAACCCGGGGTCTAGGTCTACTGCTTACTCAGTGATTCTCTATTATCTAGCCAACTAAAGTAAGTGATTGTTGTTTAAAAGCAAAAGCAGAAAGAAAGCAGGAATTGATACGGTTTTCTCAAGCAGGTAAGAGTCACTCGGGAATGAGTCCCCCTAGCTCCTTAGTTAGGTTTCAATTGTATTTCCCTGGGTTGATTTACTGTTGATTAGACTGCGGAAGATCCGACAGTAGCTTGGAATCTCTTAAGCTGACCAAGCCCTCTCAGTCTATCTACCCGGCAGACGACTAGTCTTCACCGGGATAGAAAGCTGAAGCAGTAAGAACAGAACTCCACTACTGGAATTGGATTCCAGTACAAAGCATTAAACTGGCTAACTCTCGTATAGCCAATCTCCTACTATCGAATGATGAGACTCTAGCAACCTAATCAGATTCTATCTATCTCAGATTGCAGCTGGAATCAGGAAAAGTTGATCAGACTTCAAATGACTCAATAAACATGCATCATTCGATTAAAATCAAACAGTAATATCATCCCAAGTCATTACAATCAATCCCTAACACATAGAACTAGGGTTCTTCATCCCCAAGTGAGAGAGGGGTTCTACTCCATAGAGAGAGAGAAGAAAACAAGATACAAAGCAGTCATACTCATAATTATGGGAAGAATCTGCTCTGGGATGATGATTTCCACTCCTATGACGATCTCCAAGCTTGATTTGATGAAACCCAACTCCAAGATGGCTTCTAGGATGTGTTCTTCGTCCTTTTTCTCTCTAGGGCTCTATTTTTGCTCAAAAAGTCAGATTCCCTCTCTTGCAGCCCGGAATTGGGTTAAAACCAGGAATTCCCGACTCACACGGGCAGGGCCACACGGCCGTGTGGCTCACCCAGTTGCCCGTGTGAGTCAAAACGCTGCGTTCCAATTAGTTCGATCTTCAGGCTTCTCACACGGCAAGGGTCGCACGGCCGTGTGGGATTTCCATCTTCCCGTGTTTCCTCTCGGCGAAACTCGCACGGCCAAACCACTCCTTCACACGGCCGTGTGGACATCAGGGCAAGCCGTGTTTGCTCTCGCACAATCTCACACGGCCAAAGTGGTCACTTGCACGGCCGTGTGAGTTGTGGGTGTGCCCGTGTGGCCTCCTTTTTGACTTCCCTCGCGCTCGATCTTCGTCCAATCGACCCCAAACTCGCTCCCAAGCCTCCATTCACGTACTAGGACCTGAAATATCACAAACAAGCACAACCTAGCGTGAAATCGTCCTAAAACACGAGAAATCACATCTCAAATGGTGTAAGAACAGGGGTAAAAACATGTGTAATTAACGGTCTATCACTATGTCCTCATAAACATCCGCCGCAAGGCAACTACACGTCCCATCCGCCAGCGGGACCCTCCTCTTCCTCCAATGGTGGCTGGCTTATGGATTCTGCGGGCACTCATCACGTGACCAACAATTTGAGCAAGCTATCTCTGTACTCCGACTACACTAGCCCCAATGAGATTTATTTGGGTGATGGTTCAGGTTTGTGAATTACTCATATTGGATCCTCGTCTTTCTGCATCGCCAAAGTCCCTTACCTTACGTGATGTTCTTAGTGTTCCTACTATTAAGCATCGCCTTATCTTTGTCACTAAGCTATGTCACATTAATTCGATTTTTGTTGAATACTTTGCTGATTTGTTCATTGTGAAGGACCTAAAACGGGGGCGCATCTACTGAATTGAAGGAACAAAGGTGATACCTATGAGCTCCATGCTAAGTCTAATGTTGTTCGCGTTGCTTTAGTTGCCACCGGTCATTCACCTGACTTCTGGCATTGTCGTTTAGGTCACTCGTCGTCCAAGTCTCTCCTTTGTCTGATCTGCACTCAATCCCTACCTCATTCGTCTAAGTCCCCTATTCATTTTAATTCTTGTCTTTCAAATAAGAGTCATCAACTTCCTTTTGGTGACTCCAGTTTGTCTAGTACTCAACCCTTTGATCTTTTGTATTCTGGCGTTTGGGGTCATGCCATTGTAACCTCTATGGATGGCTATTTTTATTATCCTATTAATGTCGATCATTTTACTCGGTATACTTGGATTTATCCTCTCCAACGTATGTCTGATATGTTGTTTGTTTTCATTACTTTCAAAAAGCTGGTTGAGAATTACTTTGCCACCACCATTCGCCGGCTATACACAGATGGTGGGGGTGAATTCAAAAAGCCTAAATCCGATCTTGTTCATAATGGGATCACTTACCTCCTCAACCCACCGTACACACCTCAACATAATGGGTTGTTTAAGCGCAAACATCGCCATATAGTTTAAACTGACATCACCCTCCCCCATCAGGCTCGCCTCCCTCTTTCCTACTGGTCCTACGCCTTCTCTACAACCTTTTATCTCATCAACCAGCTTCCCTCGTCATCCTTACATGGTAAAATTCCCTTCACTACCTTGTTTAATGAATCCCCCAACTACTCCAAACTCCATGTCTTTGGTTGCTTGTGCTACCCTTGGTTACGTCCCTATAACTCTCATAAACTTCAGCCCAGGTCCCTTACATGTGTGTTTCTCGGCTACTCACATCAAAAGAGTGCATATAGTTGTCTAGATCCCCAAACTAATCGTGTCTGCATCTCTCATCATGTTCTCTTTGTCGAGTCCAAACTTTTGGGTGTCAACTCCACTCTTCCTCCTTTGTCTGTCGAGTCGTCCTCAACTTCCTGGCTGGATGCCACCATTCCTGTTTTTACTTTTATTCCTTGCAGGTCATCATCCCCACTGCCGGCTCCCAGGTCTGCATGCGGAACATGATGCTCTACTTGCCAATCATACCTGGGATCTGGTCCCCCATCAACCTCACTTCAACATTATTGGCAACAGGTGGCTTTACCGTGTTAAGTTTCTCTTCGATGGCTCCATCGAATGCAACAAGTGTCGCCTCGTTGCCAAGGGGTTTTATCAGCGAACTTGCATGGACTTTCATGGACTTTCAAACCTTTTCTCAAACCAGTGATGATTCGCACGGTTCTTCACACTTGCTATGTCCTCTCGATGGCCTATCTTCCAGTATGACGTCAACAATGCCTTTCTTCAAGCCCCTCTTCAAGAGGAAGTTTACATGTCGCAACCACGGGGCTTTCGTGATCCTAAGTTTCCTGATCATGTCTGTCGCTTTCATAAATCCATCTATGATCTTCGTTAAACGTCGTGTGCCTTGTATGATGCTCTTTAGTTCCTTCCTTCTCTCCTGTGACTTTGTCAAGACATGCTCCGATGCATCCCTGTTTGTCAACTCGCATGGTGGTGTGCTGGCCTATTTCCTCATGTATGTTGATGATTTGCTCCTCACCGGCAATAATGAGGCCTTCCTTAGTGCTTTCAAAGATCATCTCCCGGATCGTTTTTCCCTCAAGCGTCTTGGCCACGTTCATTTCTTTCTTGGTATCGAAGTAATCCCCAAATCATCTAGCTGCATTCTCTCTCAACACAAGTATTTCAATGATGTTCTTACGCGCTTCCAGATGCATGAGGCAAAACTGGTGTCTATTCTTCTTGCGTCCACCACTCGCCTCACTCTCTCTGATGGCTCGGCTCAGGATAATGCTACCTTATATCGACAAGTCGTTGGCACTCTCCATTATCTTGTCACCACGCGCCCAGACATTGCATTCTCTGTGAACAAGCTTTTCCAATACATTCATGCACCGATGTCCACTCACTGGCAGCATGTGAAGCGGTTGCTCCGCTACAATGCTGGTACTCGTTCACTTGGTCTTCACGTTTTCCGACATGATGCTCCTATCACACTCTGTGTTTTCTCTGACTCGGACTAGGCTGGTGGCGTTGATGATCGAACGTCCACTTCCTGGTATCTCATCTACTTAGGAGACACCCTTATCTCGTGGAAATCCAATAAGCAACGTACGGTGGCTCGCTCCAGTACCTAGGTCGAATACCGTGCGCTCACTTTAATTTGGATGCATCGGAGACTCGCTGGTTCAAAAATCTTCTCGCGGAGCTCTACTACTCGCGTTCCACTACTCCTATTCTCTTCTGTGATAATATTGGTGCGGTCAATATTTTTTTACCAATATTTTTTTTTACCAATAAGTCAATATTTGTTCTCATATGATCAAAATTTTGATTTAACGATTTTAATCTCCATTTGAAACGAGTTTAAGGTCCACCAATTTTATAGTAGAACAAAATCAGACTTTTCAGACTTCCATAAGTAGACAAACTTAACATTAAGCGGTGAGGTTTGACGGTGTTGCAGCAATCCTACAAGACTTGTGCATTCATCATTCTGCTCAACCATTTACCATTAGTACAGTTTGATTTTACACCACGAGAAGCGAATCGGACTAGCCATTCAATGGTGTGCAATGTCTTACGTTATCCTGCTCTTAATTATGATCCTTATGATGTCACGTATCTTGTATGTTTTTAAGTTAGAAAGATGCCTTAGTCCTTGTGGTTACCTTGCTATAATAGTTTATCCGAAAGGATTTCTATGACAAGAAAAGTGATCTCTTTATTGAGCAGACTACTTCTAGATAGCTAGCACTAGATCAATACATTCTGTGTTATGACGAATCTATATAATCGAGAAACTAGACACCGGAAATTCATCATCAACCTAACCTACAATTTCAAACGATTGGAGAGATGATGTAGGCTTTCTGCGCTCCAGGCAAAAACAAGTTCGGAACAAACAACTACACGTCGTCACTAGGGTTTCTGCGCTCCTCGGCGTCGTGCGATTGGAGAGATGATGTAGGCTTTCTGCGCTCCAGGCAAAAACAAGTTCGGAACAAACAACTACACGTCGTCACTAGCTCGCATTTAACGTGGTAAATCCCGATTTCCACGACATCATCGTCATTACCTCTGGCGCCGAGTGGTCGGGAAGACGACAGAGTTGTTCCGCCATGCAGCTTGCAAACGCAAATTCCGAATGTGCAACCACATGACTTCACTCTTGAGAACATATTCTTTAATGAGAAAGCCGAGGCCCCCAAGTCGACGTCGTCGTTGTTATCTCCGGTGAATTCTTTTGCTCCATTGTTCGTTACACCTGCATGCAACATGCCCAAAAATAAAAAATTAGCCGACACAAATTCATATCTCTAAATTCTAACGGCGAAAAGAAATTATTTGCGCGAGATTTGCATTGAGGTTAGTCGTATTCGACGTGAATGAGTATCGTGTTTCAATGCATTTGCATCATTGATGTTATATATTAGAATTTGTTCGTCGTATGTATTCGAAACATAGAACGTATCAGCAGTGAAAACCAAAAGAGTAACCAAGAAGATCAATTTCATCGAGATGTGTTCCATATCTTCGATATTTCTACTTTGGTATATATCTTGTCGAGTGAGGATAATAGAATCGAAATATTTTTCTGATATTTTTATAGAGTATACTAAGAAGACTCGGATGTCAGAAAAGACTACTCAATGAAGATGCAAAATTCTCATTATATTATTGTGTATGTATACACATAGGATAATCTGCAACGAAGGTGTGCGATTCATGTGAATAATATATATTCCAACTAATAGCTGAAATATGGGGGGAAACATGGTGGATATAACTTATTCTCTACCGAAATATAAGAATATATTTATATCTGCCATATTTTTCCTTTATTGTTATTTTCCATACATGCTAGGACAGGCAAGAAATGAAATATGAACAATATTGTTCTTTGCTATAATCCAGACTTTCTGTACGGAGATGAACTTAATATTTAGGTGAATAAAGAGCTTGTATGGTCGATAGATTTTGGTCTTAGATTTAAATATCAACAACTATATCATGCGCGTCCATAACTATGTGCAGGAGATTACAAACCAATAAGAGAGGAAATAGGAAAATGAGCATTGCATATACGAATCACCACGTACGCGACAATTTGATTTCAATCTATCCACTAAAAATTTTAGTTAATCCAATAGATTAGTGGATGCACTGTTTGTTATATAATTACGTAATAGTACCTATATATTTATATTTTATAATTTCATACATAAACTTTAATATCTAACATAAGAACACACTTTTCAAAAATTATGTTTTGGTACCTATTTTATTAGAATGACATTCTTGTACATAAATTTTTAAAATTTTCAGAATAGTCCAAAAGCTAGATATATAACACTTTGGATCGATGAGTCAAATCCATGAATTCAAAAATCCAATTCAGGATACATACTTTGAGAATCCATGAATCTCACGAATACAATCCATTTATCACCACCATTTACGAAATTGTAAGCATGTCAATGTTCCTGCTAGTGTTGAATTAATCAACGCCCCTCTCAATTGATATGTCTGGTCAATTAATCCATTAGAATCTCGATACTCGTTCCATTTCGAAGAATATATTTTTCATGTAGCCGATCACTATAGCAAATGCTATGTTATGCTATAGTTTCTGAATTTAGCTCTCGTAGTTTATAATTGTCAGCATTATATCCAATGGACATTACAAAACATAATAATCAATCTAGTAGTGGAGTTAGAAAATATGATAACTATTTGATAGTATAAGAAATAACTTTTTGTCACGTGGAATATTGTGCGGGCCAGTCATTACACGTAATCCACCCTCCACCCACCCAAATAACTGCAGGTAGAACATTTATCAATCTTCAATCCATGCACATTAATCACACATTCACTGCGATTGGATTATCTGCAGGTGGATTGATGTCAAATTGCGTCATGTCAGACAGTGAACTACTAATTAGGAAATCTCTTTATTGAACGAGATATTACTAGCTAGAGAGTTGGTACTAGATGAATACATTCTATGTATTATTACGAATCTATGTAATCAAGAAACTAAATAACGGAGTTTAAATATCATCAAATTAAGCTACATTTTTCAAACGAGTAGTTTCTCGGCGCCGAGTGATCGAAGAGGTGCCCACCGAGGCTTCTAGCGCTACATGCAAACGCAAGTTCTGAACATACAAATACAGACCTTCATTTTCTCGCATTTAAGATTGCAAAGCCCCGTGTCAACGATGTCATCGTTACTGCCTCCAGTGCTGCATGACCGGGAAGAAGATGACGTTAGAGCTGAGCGATGCAGTTTGAAAATTCAAACTCCGAGTTTACTGTTAAAGTTTTGAGTAATATAATTCAATGCACTTAATATTAGGGAGACATCCTAGTTTGTCTAGGACGTGTATTATTGTATCTTGTACTCTCCTTCTCCCTCTTGTATTCTGTCTATGTACTTATGTATATATACCGCATTACATAATGAAATACATACAGTTGAAATCCCTTACATGGTATCAGAGCCAAGGTCCAAACCCTAAGTTTTTCGTCTTCGTCAATTCTTGTTACCATGTCCACCAACTCTGATGCTACCTCGACCATCATTGTTGGAGCCTCTTCCGTCGCCGATCGGCAGCTGGTCACGTTCAATCCTATTTCCTCACTTCCCCTCAAACTCATCACCACCAAATTTCCCTCCTAGCGTGCGCAATTGTTCTCCCTCCTCTATGGCCTCGACCGGGTTGGCTACCTTGACGCCTCCATTCCCGCGCCATCCGAGACCACTTTTGTCGATGGCGCCTCCACTCGGAACCCGAGCTACATGCCTGGTTCCGACAAAACAAGCTTATTCTCAATGGTATATTTGCTTCGGTTACGATAGAACTCTATCCCTTCATCGCCGTTGCTCAAACGTCTCGTGAAGCTTGGGACGTTATTCAACATACCTACGCTGGTACCTCTTACTCTCGCATTATGACTTTGCGAGATCGTCTTCTTGGAGAGAAATGCGGACACCGGGATATTGCCACCTACATTCAGGCTCTTCGATCCCGCTCCTCTGAACTTTCCCTAGCTGGTGAGATTATTTGCGAGGAAGAGCTCGTCACCATCTGTCTCCATGGGCTCGGCCTCGACTATAGCGAGTTCTTCGCCGACATATGGACTCACGACGTACACCCCCCCCCCTCCCCCCCAAGCTGGAAAAAATTGTTGATCGTCTCCAAGCCCTTAAGAGTGACCTCAAGGCGATCCGTCCCTCCCTGGGTCGAACATCCTGCGACAGCGTATGCGACTCAGCGCGGCTGCGGATGTGGTGCTATCTATGATTAGTTGATGTTTGATTATGTCATTCTCTTACCTTGATCCAGTATTTGAATGTTAATGTTTTTGGCTTATGAGAGTGCATACCTAATTAGGTGAAGGTTTGAACCAATATAGTATGTGTTAAGTATTGCATGCCCATTAAGCTGTAGTTCCATTTGCACTTGGCATTATATTATTTGTTAGAAGAATCTAGGCTTGGTACTCTAGAGTGATGTCGCACGTTATACCTCAGAGCAAATCAGAAAGAGAAATTGTTCTAGGAAAAATTCGACGGAGACAATACTTCTTTGAATCGCTAAGATCATCTCATCTAATGTAGAGATGTGATCCTGCCTAATTGAGAAAAGTGAGTGCCAAAAAGTCGAGAGGAAATCTCTCTGATAAAAATAAAAAAAAACATGATACTGAAATTCAAATTGTGACAAAAAAAAATCGCCTCGACAAAACTCACCATTAAACGGGCGTTGCATTGGAACCTTTGGTTGTATGCTTAATATTAATTTAATCATGTGCAAAATTAACTTTTATCGGCTAAGCTACCGCCCCCTCGCAAAGCAATCATGAATCATGAGGTGAAAGGGGGCATTGAAGACTTTTAACCCCATCGTCATTTTCCAATCCCAATATTTTACATATCGGGAACAATCAAAGTATCCGAGAACTGTCCGACAAAAGAAAAGGACATATGAAATTCATATTTAGGCTGTAGTGGTGGTGAGCCTATATGTCCAGCATGCACGGCCACTTTCAATTGCGGAATTAAAAGTAACACACGCACCTCCGTCTATAATAATATCAACAAGATTTGGAATTAAGCGCATCCGCTCAATGGGTTGATCACACACGGACGACACAAATTGCAATTAGTATGCATAATAAAGTTTGGTTTATCGTATGGCCCGCGGTGATTAGTGGTGGTTGATACGACCCATCATTATCCATTATCTAATAATTATTGTTTGATATAATTATTAGCTTCGTGACCTCTGCTCGCCATTTTCTTAAAATTAACAAAGTGGAATCGGGGAAAACAACAGAAACATCAAGAAAAGAAAAGAAGGTAGGGAAGGAAAAAAGAGGGGTAAAAAAAGGTGAAAAGAGAAGGAAAACCGAACACTCAACATATATATTTAATATAATGACAATAGCTTTTTTGCACACCGCCACAACACTGAAACCTGATTTGATTTCATGACCACTTCCCCATATGCCTTTCGATGATCGCACTAAACTTGGATCTCTCCGGACCGAAAAAAAGGAGGAAAAAGAACAAGAAAAAACCCAGCCCCTTCATTTACACAAAGCCAAACAAAAAGCTCCTAATCAACACAAGAGAGAAAAAGAGAGAGAGAGAGAGAGAGAGCGCTTCTCCGTCTGCTGTTCTTATTTGGAGTACTGAATTACTTACTACGGTGAGCTGCGACAGATCCATCCATTTTTTTTTTTTTTCTTCCTATTTGCTGAGGGAGAGATATATATGTGTATGTATATATATAGATTGAGAGGTTTCATTAAGGAATACGTAGTTATGAGTCATCATCATGAGGCGATTAATGAGGGGAATTGTTCGGCGGCGGCGGCGGCGGCGGTAGGGTGGACAATGTTATTGCACGGCCATGCGGAGGTGGCGACGGCGAACTGGTTGGTGAGCTGGCGGAAAGTGAGGATCTGGCGAATGTTCGAGAGCTTGTGTCGGAGCATGGTGTGTTCCGACCGGAGCCGCTCGTTGTCGGTCCGCACCCGGTTCGCGTGGTACGAGACGAACCGCAGCCGGGTGCTTAGTTCGCGGTTCTCGGCCCTGAGCCGGTTCACCTGGTTCCTTAGGTTTTCTAGGTGCCTCTGTTTTCTCATCCTCGACCTCCGCGCCGATTCCCGGTTCGATATCATCCTCCTCCGCCTCCGCTCGTCGTCGACCGAAGCGGGCCCCGCCACGGCCGTGGTGGTGTTCGAGTCCGCGGAGTTTTTTTGGTCCGGGAACACGAGGAGGTTCGGTTTTTCCTCGGGGTCCGAACCGGCGGGTCCGGAGTCGGGAGAGCCGAGTGGCATGATGACGTCATCGTCGGGAAAGATCAACATCTCCGGGGAACAATAGTCCTCCGCGTCCCACGGAGGGAAGTCGTAGTCGAAGCTCGAGAACTCCGTGGCGGTGTTCTCGAGCAACGAGGAGGCGGGGGAAGGGTGTGTGGCCGGAATTGTGGACAGCATGACGGCGGAGAAATGAAAAAAAAAAAAAAAAAAAACGGGCAAGAATTTCGCCTAATAGAGAGTGGGGGGAGGAAGGAGGGGAAAAGGGAAGAAATGCATTGAACAAGGCTCATATTTATTGGCGATAAAGTTGAATCCTCCTACTGTTGGGTGGGGTCGGGCAGAGGGGAAAACTGAGAAGCCAACTTTAGGATTTGAACAAGAAATGAAATTACCAAATTAGCAATCAATCGCGGGATCAAACTCCCTTTTTCGTCATTAGTGATTGTTTGGTTTTGGTGATAGTTAAATTGATACATTGTCATCACTCATCAATGTATGTATAATAATATACGTGTATGTAAGAAAATTGGTATATTGTAGTTTAGATTGTTTGTTGTTTGTGATAGTTATTATAGTATTTGAATAAGTTATATTATTTTTTGGGTGAAATATCATTGTTATCCTTCAATTTTAATATAAAAAAGCAAAACACATAAAAAAAAACTAGGGACGTAGTTGGAGGAAAGAAAAAACCCAACCATCACAATGAAACAATATCAACAAACTAACAAAAAACTTGAGATTTAACTATCACTCATTTTGAGTGATAGTTGCTGTCACATCAAACAAACAATTTATATATTATTTGTGTAGAAAAACAATATATTGTAGACAATACATGTATTGTAATTTGATGCTTTTAGGCCCCAATTAAAAAAGGGTCATGTCACTTAGCTTATTAAGCACGAAAAAAAGTAAATTCCAGAATTAATAAAAGAATACTCACATGGCTACATGAGCTAGCTTTAAGAAGTAAGTGGGCACTTTGGGGTTTTCAACTTTTCAAAGGAGACAAAATTTCTCCTTAATTGGTTCTCATTCACTTAGTTATGACGGGCGACTATTTTGATACTCGTATTTGATATGTAGAGTGCTTGAGTTTTGATCATATAATTTATAAAAATAAATCAAAATTAAGATAAATAAAGTCAAGGAGAGTATAGATACACCCTCCACTAATACACGATCTAAAATATTAAGTAATTAAAGTAAAATCATATGTTGTAATATTATTTAAAATAGATCAGATTCGAAATTGTCATCCCAATATGTATTAAGGAAGAGAGTGATTATCTAATATGGAAAAAAGAATATAAAAAAAATAGTGGTCCTCCAGTGGGGTTAGAGCGTTTAAAACGACGCGCTGGTGACGTAAGCAAATAGGTGAACGATTTGGTCCCACTCTAATATTCGGCTTAATTTTTAGCTTAGTCATGAAGAAACAAAAGATGTTGGGCCCATCTATGATCTATGGGGTACTACGTAGCAGGTAACGAATGGCTTCTCTTTGTTGAGAGCCAATAGACTGAAAAGTGCCTGACGTGGCACCACGTATGTCGGATTCGGCTCAGCTAAAGTAGCTCGCTAGCTAACCAAAGTTTAGCCGATCGGGAGCTGATCATAATATCATATAACGTGCCTTTCAATTGTGGTAGATATAGGGTTAACAAGGTTGTCAACCCGCGGCTTGACCCGGACCCGGTCGAGCTAGTGGGTCAAGGGTTAACGGGTCACCCCGTTTTAGTCCGTTTAGCCCGAAAATATGGAAAGAGTCGTTATATTGTAGTTATATTGATAAATTATATCAAATTTCATCTAACTTATGAGTAATAACATATAAAATTACACCAAAGTAACATGTCGTACTTAGATCCAACATATAGTGAAAATTCGCACACACTTATATAACATCAATATTCAAATGTTCAATTAAGAAGTTCAAAGATTGAGTTAGGCGAAAAGAAAAATCGGAAAATAGGCGCATTTCACAAACAATAGAAAAAATAACACAATTTAACCTCCAATCTGATATCTTGTAGCGGTCAACCCGGTGGGTGCGTGCGGCCCGTTTTTCTCACCAGGTCAGAGTTAAAGTGGGTCGACCCGCGGGTTGAAACCCTTGGTTAATAGTTAATAGGTTAAATTGGTCAACTTTATAATAATAAACTATTTTAGCTTGAGTTTTCAAAAAATTCTCATCGTATCAAAAATTATTGACTGCTAATCAACATATCATATATATAAACAAAAGACTTAATTTAACTTCATAATTGCAGATAAACCTCAAAATAATCACTTAATTAAATATTATTATGAAAATAAGTATAAAATAAAATAAAAAATGCCTTATATTTCCCTCACAACTAGGGATGGCAACAAAACCCGAACCCATGGGTACCCACCCGACCCAACCCGGTCAACGCGGGTAAAATTCGTGTTGACGGGTTTTGGGCCAGGTTTGGGTTTAAACCCGTTCACTATTCATCTGGTTGGGTTTGGGTTTAGGTAAAACCGACCCATGGGTACCCGCCCACACCCATATAATTAATTTTCTCGGTATATTTAATATTCTAAACAACTAATCTTATTTATGTTCGTGGAGACATGTATAATTTTTCTTTCTAATTGTTTAGAACGAAGTTGATGTTATCGAGTGGACAGTGAAGAAACTTAATTGAAAGGAAGAAGTTTTCAATTAATCATGTTATTTATGGATAATTTATGATTTGCTTTAATTTTCTTGAGTTTTCTAGATTGGTGTTGAACAATTTGTATAGTTAATTTGTGATTTGCTTGAATTTCTAGAATGGTGTTTTATATATGAATAATTTGTATTGAGAGATTGATATTTGGTTTTAATTTTGATAGGAACTTGTTATTGTAATTTTTTACGATTAAAACCCGTGGGTACCATGAACCCGCGGATACCCAGTGGGTTGGATTGTGTTTGAGTTTTTCAAACCCAGTGGGTTTTACCTCGGGTTTTTTTCACGGATAAACCCATGGGTTTGGGTTTGGGTTTGGCAAAACCCGACCCATTGCCATTCCTACTCACAACAAAGGTTAGAATACTAACACTCAATTTGTTAGCATGTTACTATTACTAGTATCAGTCAATAGAAATATTTTTTTTTATGAATCAATAGAAACATTTTCATTTTGATAATCTTTTGTATTTCAAGTGGTTGATCACTATTTTTCTGATTTGAAAGGGTGGGACATGCTCATTTATTTTGGGTCTCACGCCTCACCACAAGTATCATAAAACAGACCATAAGCACTATAGAAAAAAAAAATCTAACCACCATATAACCTATGTTGGTTGATATTGATTAATCAACTACCATATAAAGTATGATGATTAATAAAGCATTATTAACCATGGTATTTACAATGGTGGTTGTCGAGTGACTAATGGATAACATCCAAATGGTGTTATTTAGAGCCATATTTAGGTTCGTTTCGAGTCATTTCATGGTCTTCACGGTTAATATATCATCAATTATACCCTTATTCATTCTCCGGAAAAAATATTAGCATTTTAAGGTGTATTAAACGATATGAATGCCTGGTGTACCAAAAGAGGGCGCAAGTGTAGAGAATTGTACAAAAGCAGAAGATAATGGCCAAGACATGGAAGATTACGGCCACGAACAGAGGACGCGAAGTTGGACACAGAGATCGCAACCTTCAGAGTGAAGATCACGACTAGAAGTAGGAGGCTTCAGGCACGAACTTTTTGAGCAGCCAACAAGGACAAAACAGAAGTTTTGGTAGTCGGCTCATGACTTTCAACATCAGAGCTCGCGAGAATGAGCACGGTCGGGACTCACGGATCGCGACCTTGAAGTCGAGCCACAAACTTCCCACTCATCGAAGCGCAAAATGGAAAGGCTTGAGATCGCGTCCACAATCTTTCCCAGTTCGACTGTGAACTTGGCCGGGATTCTAAAATCTATAAATAGTGGGTTCCCCCCTCAATTAAAGAGCTGAAATCAATTGAGCAATTTCTGGTTTGAGAGAGAGAAGGTGAATGAAGGAGAAGAAGGAGGAGTCAAGGAGGAAGGGAGCTCTCCCCATTTCAAGTCTTCCCTCCTTTACGGAGTAGTCCACTAAGGTATTAGGGGTTATAAGCCGCAAACCGTAGAATTAGGTTTTGTATATAGGTGCTATTGTGTTAGGGTTTGTGTACGGATTTGTTTGTTTCAATAATTATATGCTTCATTTATGCTTGATTATGATGTGTCGTGTCTCTCCAACTCTTACCTACTAGCCTACAACTGAGTCTCAGAACTAGGTGAGAGTTTTAGGTTTAGACTGGAATTGATCGCCTTGAGACTAATTGGAGGTAGATGAATGATCTTAGGGTTTCCGTTAGTGGACGAGGAGACTGAACTCATGGTGGAGGAATGCATTCTTGATACAATGCTAGAGATGATGCAAGCATTATCGATCCATCGCTTTAATTTGCATGATAGGTTGAACTTATTTAGCGGAACTAGTGGTCATTCCTTAGTACGCGAGCTTCTACAGAGGTGACAATGAGTCTTTGGGAGCGTACTAGGAGGCGACAAAGTAATCATTGAAGCCCTCAACTTAGGGTGAGGGAGTTACCCCGAAATACCTGCTTTGTATCCTTGCTTTACCCGTATTTTGCCCATAATTGGGGTAAAGAGGCAGATTCGAGTCAAAGGAAGGGGACTCAACTTTTTGGAGAAAAAACAGAGTTCTAGAGAGCGAAAGTGGCGAAGAACAAACCCTAGGAGCTATTTGGAGTGGATTTCTCGCCATTAAAGCCCAGATTGCGTCCCCGGAAGTGAAGATTGACATCCTAGAGCAGATTAGTCCCATCTTTATGAGTATGATTGTTAGGGATCTTGATTGTAATAACTTTTGGGATGATATATTGATTGATTTTAATCGATTGAAGTGTGTTTAATGAGTCAATTGAATCCTGATCAACTTCTTTTGATTTCTGTTTCAACCTGTGATAGATATAATCTGATTAGGTTGTTAGATCTTCTTTAATCGATAGGTGTGAATTGATTGTACGAGAGTCAGTTAGTTCACTGCTTTGTACCGGAATTTGTTTCCAGTAGTGGAGTTATGTGTGAATTGCCTTAGCATTCTATCTCGGTGAAGGCTAGTCGTCGGCCAGATAGTCAGTCTAAGAGGGCTTGGTCAGCTTAAGAGATTCCAAACTAAGTAGCTAACTAAGTAGCTAAGGGGACTCATTCCCGAGTGACTCTTCTCTTGCTTTAGAAAACCAGACAATTTATTGCTTTCTTTCTGCTTTAGTTTGAACTCATTTTCACTCGACTTTCCCCGCTAGATAATAGATAATCACAGAGTAGGTACATCTAGGCCTCGACTTGGTCGCAGTTTCGTGTTGTGCCGTAGCGAGTCAATCATGTTGTTGCATACAAATATACAATCAAATTTAGGGCTAATACCACTACAATGCCCG